TATTGCCAGAGTTCAACCACTTAACTGTGTGCATGTTGTTGTTTTTGCGATGTAGAGTTGATAAAGAAACGTGAACTGGACATAGATGAGCTCCGCCCACTCTATATGGATTTTCAAGCCACAACACCAATGGTGAAGCTGAATAATTTTGTCAGATTTACACGTAATATTTGAGTCTGTTGGAGAATCATTTATTCCCGCTTCATCTTGTTTTTTAGGACCCCCGAGTTTTGGATGCCATGTTGCCCTACCAGGTAAACTATTACGGTAACCCTCACTCCAGGACTCACGCCTACGGCTGGGAGAGTGAAAAAGCTATGGAGACTGCAAGAAAGGTACGTAAAAAGACACTTTTCAGACAGCAAAATTAATCATTTTTTGTTTTCTCCATACCTGGTAGATTGACTGTGTTTTCTGTCAATTTAATGAAAACAGCAAGTAGCTGATCTTATTGGAGCTGATCCCAGAGAGATCATCTTTACCAGCGGAGCCACTGAATCCAACAACATGGCCATCAAGGTCTCACTGTGCTCCTCTTTTTGATTACAGTAAAAAAAAAAAAACACTGACCGACTGTTGGTATACTTTCCACCACCTAAGCATTCACCCTGACACATTGTCTTTTGCAGGGTGTGGCCAGATTCTACAAGGGCAAAAAGAGTCATGTAATAACTACACAGACAGAACACAAATGTGTCTTAGACTCGTGTCGAGTCCTGGAAGCTGAAGGGTTCAACATCACATACTTGCCAGTACAGAAGAACGGAGTGTTAGACTTGGAGGTAGCACACTACAACATTAAACAAATCAACCATGAATAGACACGCAACATGTGTGGGCAATATGACGGTATAGAAAATGTTTATGTTTGTCTTCAGCTACTGGAGGCCTCTATACGTCCTGACACATCTTTAGTATCTGTGATGACTGTCAACAACGAGATCGGAATCAAGCAGCCTATCAAGGAAATTGGTAATTTTGAAAATACACATTTAAATCTGATCAAATTTTACTTCTGATAGAAAACTGCTCATAAATTTGATTTTTCTTTTCTTTTTATAGGTCAGATTTGTCGCTCTAAAGGAGTTTTCTTACACACGGATGCTGCTCAAGCTGTTGGAAAGATTCCCATTAGTGTCTCTGACTGGAAGATTGACCTGATGTCTATCAGTGCCCACAAGATATATGGACCCAAGGGTCAGGGCAACCATTTTTAATTTAAGTGATATATTTTGTAATGAATTAAAGAAAGGACATTCAACATGTAGAGGAAAAGTTATAAGTAGAAATATACAATACAGGAAGTTTTGACCTAACAATAGCAAAAGACTGAACAAGATACAACTTCATGAACAAAGCATAAATTTATGTGTGTGCATGGGTTTGTTTGTTGTACAGGTGTGGGGGCATTGTATGTGCGTCGTCGGCCCAGGGTTCGTTTGGAACCTCTGCAGAACGGCGGTGGTCAGGAGAGAGGGCTGCGTTCTGGAACAGTCCCCACCCCACTGGCTGTTGGACTGGGAGCAGCCTGCAGCATCGCTCAGCAGGAGATGGAGGTAAAACAACTCTGTTCACTAGTTCAATTCTCCAGATACATACATACTACTCTGTTATTCTCCCAAAACAATAATAGGGTTCAGAAAACATGATGGCCTAAAAGTGTGGATTTTGAATCCCAATATTCTTACCTAATTAATGCTTTGGTTTCTCAAGTATGATCATCAGAGAGTGTCTATGCTGGCTGATCGTCTGGTTCAGAAACTCATGTCTGAGATACCTGAGGTCATAATGAATGGGGATCCAGAGCAAAGATACCATGGCATGTACACTCACACACACACAAACAAACATATAAATAAATCAATCACTGTCCTGCAAAAAACAATTCCATTTTGTTTCATTTTTGTCAACATTTCCTTTTACAAAAGCAAGGCAACTTAACTGACTTTGTGTATGCGTATGTGTTGTCACTGCTCATGTTACCAGGCTGCATCAACCTGTCTTTTGCCTACGTGGAGGGAGAGAGTCTGTTGATGGCACTCAAAGATGTCGCTCTGTCATCAGGCAGGTCAGACAACAAACAACAATAAGAATGTACAGAGTGTACAGTTATTTTTAAATAGCTCTGAAAGTGTTTTTGCAGAAGGAAAAGTCATTTAACATACCTTAGAAACCGACTTTTTGTCAAGAGACAAAGACACATCTTGTTGAGGTTGAGATAAATAAACAACCTTATGGAAACAAATGTTTAATATTTATTGTCATGTGTGTTTACAGTGCCTGTACGTCTGCATCTCTAGAACCTTCATATGTTCTCAGAGCCATAGGAGCAGATGAAGACCTGGCACATTCTTCCATCAGGTAGGACTGCTTATCATCCACAATTCAAATCAAGGTCGGAGTCACTTTAAAATGCATCATTGATTACATCAAGTAACTGGTCACGTTATTTATCTATTTATTTATTCATAGGAGTTGGTTGCATTTGTACATAAGATGTAAAATTATTTGAACATTACAATTTTGTAAACCCGTGCTTGTGTGTCAGGTTTGGAATTGGCAGGTTCACCACAGAGGAGGAGGTGGACTACACAGCTGAGAAATGCATTGGACAGGTCCGCAGACTCAGAGAGATGAGGTAAATCCTGCTAAAATCTAGCTTTCTTGTTTTGACATTGAGTAAAAAATTTGAGTTTTACCAGATTTTTTCATTTACATAACATTTATTACATAGTTCTGTACAAGTTTAAAAATCAACCCAGGTGAGAATGGCAAGAAAACCATGTATCTCTGTCCAAAAAAGTTTAGAAAAGGTAAAAAAAAACAACAAAACATCACTTAACTTGTTGTCCGTCTCTTTCAATGTCAGCCCCCTGTGGGAGATGTTTCAGGAAGGTATTGACCTGAAGAGCATCAAGTGGACACAACACTAATCTCCTACAACTGCCAGTCATATCGCCGCCTCATGGTGACTACAGTAAAGATGGTTTCCAGTCCAGCCATTTTTGTTTCTCTACACAAACACGCACAAAGATCCTGCCAAACTTGAAGTCTGTGGCAGTGGTTGTGTCCACACAACTCTCCTTCAGTTGTTGAGGGAGCTATTCAATTTCCATTTTTATTATTATTATTATTATTCCTTTCTGCAAGTTAGGATTATTATCTGAATTGTAACTTTACCAAGACAGGACAAGACTTCAGACATGCTCTGTCTACCACTCTATGTGAGAACTTGGCATTGTGCTCTTTCTGAAATAAAACTAAAGTTGTCATTTGTTAAAACATTAGGTTTCCAATTGTGACCTTTTGTTAAGTCATCTGTGAAGCTTCTGACGCACATTGTTTTGTTTTCTTCTTTGTCTATGAATATATAAACACAATAAACTGCTGCTTAATCATGTTTATACAATAAAATATTGAATCATAGCTTATGCTGTAAATAGTCATTTTTAAATATATCTCGACTTGTTTTTTGTGCTATAACTGCATGGAACAATGTTATTGTTAATTTAATGGCTTGATGACAAACTTGTCAAAGGAATTTACTAGAATTCCCCACTTGAGTTTGCAAAGATTATAATAACTGCAATGATCATATATACATTTAGAGCAAGTGCACGTTTGCATTATAATAATTATAATAATTTTATATTAATATTTACCTTCCCACAACAGAGTGTAACATGGTGTCTACGAGCGCCCAAGAAAAGTGTAATTCCGATTCTATCCACAAGGATACGGTGCTGCACAAATGGTTTTACGCCAGGAAAGACTACCAACGACATCTCGTATCAGTTTGTGGGATATCGCGGTGTTTGTGCCGACATTTCGTGTGTCGGGTGCATCCTGCAAAAAGAAGAGCACATAAGAAAGAGAGATCCTGTTCACCAAAAAAAACCTCTGTGTTTGTTCACACATTTCTCGGTAAGAAATCAGTGGGGGCAAACGTCCAGTGATACAATTATATCTGGAGTAAAGTGCCAGATTGACGGATTTAAGCGAGCACCCTGCCCGCTGCTTTGCTTCGATTCACAAAGCATCTAGGCTAGGGTAGCATTAGCCTACAGTTAGCTACGCTGTGCTAAGGTTAAAACTACATGGAGTGAGAAACTATGAGTTATGTTGTTAGGTTGTAGGTTGTTAAATAGTAGTTCTATATTTAAAAAGTATCGGATATGTGTATTTTAAATGTTTTTATTCAAGCTAGAGAAGTTAGGAAGCGTAGTCAGACACGTTTCCCAAGGATTAATGAGGATTTTTTTTGTTCAAAATGCTGTTTTGTATTTGTTTGTAACAATGCAGTGTGGTAGCGGCGCTCGGCACTTTTTCAGTTCCTTCAATAACTTAAATTGTGTTCAGCTGCATATCTTTGGTTTTGACAAGGTCTGCAGCCCCTGTTTCCGTCGGTGTGTGAGGCCATCACACCCACCACAACGTCATGTGCGGCTAATCTAAGCACTTCCACTGCTGCTCAGCAGTCAATACGTCTATTTTTCCGTTAGTAATATATAAATGACAATCAATATTAAGTTAACTGTATAACTGTGTTGAGTTGTTTTTACTATAAAAAGCAATGGATACTATATGGAGTGTGCACCAATCAGAAAGCATGAATTGTGGTTTAAATGTCTACGAAACTTGCTTTTTAACTTCACATCACTATTGAATCTTCTGACATTGTCTGCCATGAATGATGGTTTACTCAGTTTTCATTAGCTCAGAGTAGACAAATTCAATAACTTTGTGTTTCACTGGTAACAGGAAGATGAATCCTTTTCGTTTGAATATACCAGATGTGAGGAAAATATGTTGCAATTTTACATGGAGAGTCTTGGAAAGTGTGCTTAATTGCCTCAACTTCCTTGTCTTTGCTCTTTTTCTTCAGAAACATCACCTTATCTCCTACATTGTCAAACCATGTAACTGAATTCTATTGGTTATTTGGTTTTTCACACACCTTGTATATGCAGTTGGCAAAAAAAGCACTTTTATCACGTATCTTTCCATAAAGGTTGAAGAAAAGGCCTTGAAGAGGTTGTGCCATAAGATCAATGAGCATTTAAACAATCATCACTATCTGTGATGATTTGGTATAGTTTAACAAGTCCTCAAATAGTAAATGTAATGTTTTAAATTTTGTTTTTGTGTCATTGGCAGTGCATCATTGAGCTCAGTGTTTTTCAGAATGTCTGTCGATGACATTCTACTGAGTGCATATTGAGCAGACAAATCTGTAGTAGCTAGCACTTAGGTTTCAATTTAGAATTTGTTTCTGTTGGTGTGTCTAGTGCTTTACAGGGTGGCACTTGGATAAGGTCCACAATTGCTATCCATGGTGAGATTCCATAACAATAAATTATGACTTGTATCTGTTTTTGTGATTGTGTTCTTGCTATGGGAAAAGCACTCTGTTGTCACATATGATTTCAAATGGTTGAGCTGGAGTGACAATGAAGTGATTTTTTATTTTTATTTTTTTGGCAAGATGTCCTTTGCAGAACCTTTGTCCTGGTTGGCTAGGATTGTGGTTTGTGAGAGAACCCATTGGTGACTGTGGGAACAAAAGCTGTGTTTAATCGGTTAGCTGGCTTGTTTCTTTGCCTTTTTCCTTTATATTTCCTGTCTTTCCTGATCAGCTGCTGTTATTGGTGCTGTGCTATAACCATTGATGCAATTGATGTAATGCTAATTGTGCTATAGTACACTCGATGCTCTGGTTTTATTGTTTGACATTGCTTCTGACAAAATGCTGGATGTTGCTTCTATTGCTTGGTGTGTTGCCACTGTTGACAAGATGCTTTGGTTTACTGATGATTTCTTTGGGTGTCATGTTGCTGATCTTGTAATGTTTTGCATCTATGGAGATTTATTGAGAAACTCTTGAGATACTGTTGGCTGATTCAAGAAATGTTTGGTGGAGCTTTGGTGAACTCCCCTAAATTTCTTCTAGTTGAATGTGTTTTTCATGTTTGATTTGTATAGTTGTTATTTGTGAGATCAGTAGAATTGTTGAAGTGCAGTGTGTATATTTTCTAGCTTTTGCTGCGGAATGGTGGTGGAGTTGAGAGCTATATTTGGTAGAAAATGCCAATATCGTTTGTTGGTTTATGCTGCCTTTTTTAAAGATTAAATTGGTCATATCTTGCGGTATACTTTGATTGCATAATTCTTTCTAATTCACAGCTGTAAAGCACCTAACAAATGATAAAACACCAGTATTTCAAATACTGGTATAATTATCAATTGTCTCAGTATTTTCAGTAAAATTTGACTGAGATCATCTTGAACCAGAATGTTTGTCTTCTTACCTTTCCACCAGGTTTCAGTGTCCTACAGAAATCATCAGTCTGGTTTACAGTGAATCTATTCACAACTTAGTTGCTTTGGTGAGTTACACGCTGCATGATATTCTAAAAGATTTACTGTTGCACGGAATTTAAAAACTTATGCAAAAATATTAGTGCTGCATGGTAGAAGTAGTAAAGGCTACATTAGCTTTATGACATGAATTACCTGAATTCCACATTGTGATGGTAATTTCATAATTGTTTTTACTAATAGTGTTTACTTTGGGCAAATTCAATTCAAGTCGAACATACATCGAACCATCACTCATGTTGTACACTAGTGTATTAAGTATTGTACTGTACATTGTACTGTAAAATCAAATCACATTTTCACCTTTTAAGTATGCTTGAGATTTGGCACATTAAAAGCATTGCTCACTGAAACAAATAAGTTTGTTTTTAGGCAAAGTGTATTTAAAAGTTAGAAGCAACCTGGACTTTTCTTATTGAACTAATACTTATCCCCAATATGCACGGTTGCAATAATATGTAATCTTGTCTAAATTGCAAACACAACCAGTGTTGGGAACAGAAAGTATGTGTCCATGCAGCATCAAAACTTTCTTTTGATCTGATCATATTTTGTTCCTCTAGAAACTTTCAAGAACATACCTATTTTGCCAATTAGGCTCTTTTGTAACATTAAGCTGTGGTATAAACTGTGATTTCTCCCTGTTGATGTCGTAAATAGTCCCTGCAGGGTGATATTCCTTCAGCACCAATTAGAATATAATAGTTATTTGCAATTTGAAATACATTTTTAGTAAGCGTTATTTTTACAAGTTCCCTAAATTTCACACCAGAACCTCTTTAAGGATCTCTGCTTTTCAAATACTATATTCAATTTATTCTATCTACACACTATTGGTCTCCCTGTTTTTCCCTCATTACCTGACAGACGTGTTGCTTTCTCCCCAGGTTTTAGCGCTGTTGTTTAGCAGTCATTATGGCAGTAGTCATCAGGCTGCAGGGTCTGCCCATAGTGGCTGGAACCATGGACATCAGACACTTCTTCTCTGGTCTCACTATCCCTGATGGGGGAGTACACATCGTTGGGGGTGAGCATGGTGAGGCTTTTATCGTCTTTGCCACTGATGAGGATGCTCGGCTGGGTATGATGCGTACAGGAGGGTCAATTAAGGGATCCAAAGTTTCCCTTCTACTTAGCAGTAAGACAGAAATGCAGAATATGATTGAACTTAGTCGGCGTAGGTTTGAGGCTGGTGCAGGTGCTGTCGAAGCAGCGACACCTGCAACAGGAATTGCTAATCGTCAAGCAGGTGCTGCTCCCATGCCCGCAGTGCAGCCAGGGGCAGGCGGCAGAGGTGGAAATCAAGGATTCAGTAACATATCAGCCACAGTAACAGCGGCAAGTTCAACCCAGGAGCTACCAAGCAACAAAGCTCCACCCAGCTTGGCTAGTGTAGCGCCCTGCTTCCCTAACAGCTATAGCTCCACTCCTACAATTACAACAGCTATGGCATCACTCAGCGCTGTACCCCCAACCATTCCTCCACTTTCTAATTTGCCTTCCATGCCACCAATGCCCACATTGCCCACAATTCCAGTCCCCCCTCCAGTTTCCTCTCTGCCCCCTGTCCCCACTGTTTCGCCTCTGTCCCAAGGACCTCCAGTACCTCCTATGTCTCACCTTCCCCACATGTCTTCGCTGCCTCCATTCAATCCTTCTCTTCCTCCACCTGCGGGTTTGGCTTCTGGGCTTCCCCTTGGAACTCCCAATCCAATGCTTTTTAATCCTCTTTCTCCCTTAGCTTATGGCCTTCAGGCACATATGAAGGCTGCTGCAGCAGCCAGTGGAGCAGTTGCAGCCAGCCCGGATGAGTTATTTGTCCTCTTGCAGAATCTCCCATTCTCCTGTTCAGAGGTTGATGTCAGAGAATTTTTCCGCGGTTTGGGTGTAAATGGAGTTCGTCTGATAAGGGATGCGCAGGGTCGGCCGTCTGGTAGGGCTGTGGTGAAGTTTTTCTCACCCCAGGAGAGCTTTGAAGCTGTGAAGAGGGGGGGTGGTATGATGGGCCAACGGTTTATTGAGATCTCACCATCCTCTGAGCGACAGTGGGCCAGCCTTAGTGACAGTATGACCAACCATGCACCTCACAATAGTAAATCAGACAACAACAGTGAATCACAGGATCCGCAGCATCGCCGCAGCAATATCGGGTCTGGAAACCGGGATCAGCGAGGAAGATCACGCTCTCCCCACCGACAGGATTTCTGTATTTACTTGAAGGGCCTTCCCTATGAGGTTGAAAAGAAACAGATTAAGGAGTTCTTTAAGAATTTGGCCATTGTGGAGGACAGCATCTACATTGCCTATGGACCCAATGGACGAGCCACAGGAGAGGGCTTTCTTGAATTTAAAACAGAACAAGACTACAAGACTGCTCTGGATGCTCACATGCAGTACATGGGCTCTCGCTTTATTCAGGTCCACCAAATCAGCCGGAAGGGAATGCTTGAAAAAATTGACACGATTCGCAAACGTGATGCAAGCCATGGCGATGGAAAGAACCAGGATAGCTTAAAAGCACCCCGGAACTGTGCCCACATTACGAACATCCCATACAATATTTCGAAGAAGGATGTCCGTGCCTTTCTAGAGGGTGTTGGGCTTTATGAAGACAGTCTGAAGGTTTTGACAGATAGCCATGGTAATGGATTAGGACAAGCTATCTTTCAGCTCCGGACCGAAGAAGACGCCCGCAAAGCTGAAAGATTGCACCGCCAAAAGCTTAACGGACGTGATGCCTTTGTTCATCTTGTAACATTTGATCAGATGAAGGAAATTGAGAGGAATCCTCCTCCTCAAAACAAAAGGGGGCAACGCAACCAAAACCAGCAGAACCAAAATCAGAGTCAACAAAAGCAAACACAGCCCAGTCCCCATCAGCCTCAAATTAACCCATTTGCTGGGATCAGTGGGGAGGAATTTAACTTTCTTAGAAACACTATGGGGAACCTAAACACTCCATTTGTGACTCCATTTTCTGCTCCAGGGAATGGATTGGCAGGCCCCCCACCTCTGCCTCCTCTGGCAGCAGGACTTGGGGATGTAAATTTGGGTGTGGCTCCTCCACTTGTTACAGGTCTTCCTGGAGGTCCTATTCTTGAGCCACCTGGCTTTCGTCCTGGAGCAGGTGCTGGTGCTCCATTTGGTCCAGATGGACTGAGAGGACTGGTGCCCTTTGAAAATGCCACCAGAAAAGGGGGTGGAGGTGGACAAAACAGGGGGGGAGGAGCTAACAACAATCAAGGCCGTCCAGCTGGTGGAGTTCCCGGTGGACAGCAGGTTTTCACTCCAGGAGCTGAGAGTCTCCATACCCAGCCAACCCCAGGAGGTTCCTCCAATGCCAATAATCAACGTGGAGCTGCTGGTCCAACTATTGTTAAACTTCAAAATATGCCTTTCACAGTAACCATAGACGAAATTATGGACTTCTTTTATGGCTACCAGGTACTGCCAGGCTCTGTCTGCCTTCAATTCAGTGAAAAAGGCTTGCCAACTGGTGAGGCTATGGTAGCCTTCCAAAACCATGAGGAGGCGGCTGCTGCTGTCATGGACCTGAATGATCGGCCTATCGGAGCTCGTAAGGTCAAGATAAGTCTCGGTTAAAATCTTGGTCAATAGAACACTAACTGTACATAGACAATGTCAACGCCAACCAGTGGGACACCAACATAAAGCCTACCTAATTAATGGACTAATACCCTGAATGCATCTACTAAAGGACCCCCTCTCCTATCTTTGTAGATAATAACAGGTAAGCCCCACCCTGCTGTCTGTCCAAAAGAAGCCAGGCTTGTACTTCCCTACAGGATCAAGATTTACTTTAAAGCACAATCTCGTAATGATGATGATGGAGGTAGTGTTAATAGTGGTGATGAGACCGAGTGTTTGTATGCTTGCTTTTTTTTTTCTTTTTGAACCGAGTGGAAAATTATGTTCAGAGGTGACGCCCAAAACATAATTGGCTGCTTTTTGTTATCAAGTAACATGAACATTGTCTGAGACATTGTTGCATTAATTGTTTATATATGCTGCTGTGGTTTCACAACACCATGCTCTGTTAATAATGTAAATCGCAATCCCATGATTGAAATCCACTAGTCAAGTATTCTGTGGGTACGTTGAAAAAAACGTTTGTTTTGTTGCTTTGGAAAACTCCCTAAATGCTCTGTTGCTATGTTTAAAATCTTTCTATACTCCGTTGCTATGGTTAAACCTTTTCATGCCCTTTTGCTACTGTAAATCATGCTGTAGATGAAAGTGAACTGTAGGTGCTCTCTTGCTATGGTCCTCGCTTTGTGTTGCTATGATAAAAAATTATGATATCAAGCTATGTTGCTGTGATCAAATGATCGTGTTCCGTTTCTGTGGTGAAATGTTGATATGTCCAATTGCTATGGTAACAATTATATTGTCACCAAACCTTTGTAAAAGGCTGAAACTGTTGCTCTGCTTTCATGACAATGCTTTTCTGTTTTGCAGTGCTCTGTGAATGTTGGATTGACAGATGGTTTATTTGATTTATATTTTAAATAATGACTCTGGTTGCTGAATCCTTTCCCTTTGTCACATTTGTTCAACATTATTGTGTTTCACCTATGTCACCACCCTTTTTACAGTACATGCTTAGCAGGCATTTGGTCTGGACACCATTGAGATGAAATGTAGGAATTTTAGTTTGGTATGTTTTTTGTTGTATGATTCATGCTGTTCAGGAGGTTTCCATCTTCAGTTTATTTTTGTTTCTTGTCTTAGTATAAAGAAATGTGTATAAACATAACATTATGTGGAGTCTCCCTTGCATTTAATAATAAAAAAGCACATTCCTGATGCACTAATGCTCGCCTGCAGTCAGCTTTCTGAGTTTCTTATCTTTACTCTCTCATATATAAATACACCTAATATTTTTGTGATTATAGTACCAAATATTTGCTCAAACTTGATCATATCTTTAAATTAAATGTAAATACAAATGAACCTTTTTATGTTGTTCATGTTGTTGGTTGAGCTCTACCTTGAGTTGTAATTGGATTCCACTTGGTCATACGTGTTCAGATATTTTTAAAATGAAAACCTTATACATTAGGAGCTAATGTTACTTTCACTGTGAATATTTATATCAACTTCAGCATGATTATGAAATGCGGTGATCATCAGTGGTACACTACGAAAACATAAGAAGCAGTGTTCAAATGAATGCCTTGTAATGGGACCGTAGTTGTTAACATACTCAAGTATGTAACTACTTTTGCCTAGAGTTTACATATTTAAATTCAATTTAGCCTGCAGGGGCGCTGTGATTGCCGTTGTAATGCCCTTTGTTGAACATGCTGGTATTGGTTTTTTCCTTTAAATTGTTTCAAATATTTTTCACTAGAATACTTTTGGAATCTAATTGTCAACTGGATATCAATCTGACCACTGGTTGATGTCTGATGTGCTGTCTCTTCAACATTGCTTTGCCATAACATTACGGTCAGTGTAGCCATCGTTACTATAGTAAAGGGCAGTAGTGATAGAGGTACTCTTTGAATTTCAGTAGTAAAGTAAAACTGTTTCTCGTCATAGTGTGTCTTCATAAAAACACTTTAGGACTAAAATATCTGGCGTTATTCTATCTTATTTGTGACAATTGTGTGTCAAACATACATTGATATTGGTACCTTGAACAGGATAATGCTGACGAGAAGAGTTTTTGAAGAGGAAATATTTGCTGCTGTCATAAAACGAGCACTCCACAGGATGTAGTGTTGAACTGTGTGTGTGTGTGTGTGTGTGTGTGTGTGTGTGACTAAGAGACAATAATAAAATGCTTTGAAATACCTTTTACGTTATGCATCAACAGTTGTTACATAATTGTGTCTGTCTTTTGGACTTTGGCTGAAGAAATACACAAATGTGTTTGTTTGGTGAGGTAACGTTATTGCTGAATGACACCTGGCTGTGAGTCATTTACCTGCTGAGACCCCCCTGCTACTGATCAGTAGACATAACGAAAGCAGGACTTACAGGTGAGTGACGGACATGCAAAAAAGCTATGCTCAGAATATGGCTTGATGACATTGTAGAAAAATACTTACACCTATTCAGTATTTGTATATGACTTTGTATACGGAAACTTGAGGTGATGGTTTGTTTAGGACCTTTATGCAGACATTAGCTTATAGTTATGTCTGTTCGTGTTCATATATGTGGTCTGATGTTTGGCTATATATAAGAATTTAAAAGTATTGCATTGATGCAACAATGCGTTACTCTGTTGATTGTAGAGGTTAGCCGTTGGCTTTGAGATGAAGCAAAACCCTAAATAAATATAATAAATGATAGAGATATTAGCTATTTGCTTAGACTGTGAAAGTAGCCCTACTGTATGTGTTAGGGATTAATTGTAGTTCGGTGACATCAAGCTGCATGGATCCACTTATCTGTAGATAGGGCCATATGTTGAGGTCAAGCTACAATTACTTTGCTTAACATGTATTGCCTTTGCCTTGTTAGATAAGCCACTGTGCTGTTGTATTTGAATCCAGTTGACACTTAACTACATGGTCATTTTTTTGCATATGTGAAACATTAGAACATGATAGCATTTTGTGCAGAAAGTCCAGTGCAAAAAGCATGGTAACAGTTAGTGGTAGATGTATGTTTAAGTATATAATACAAAATAAGACTAATAGGCTTGTGGTTGTTCCCAAAAATAGCTAAAATGAAGAGAACATGTAAGAAAACTTTGTTTTCCAGGATACTGCTGTTTTATCCAATTACCTGCTGGTCTACATTGGTAGCATGACATAAAAAGACAGCTTGGTGTGGCTGGAAAAATAGCAGAGAGAATCTTTTATACATCTTTTATATGGAATTTACATGGAGCATACAAATGAGCATGATGTTACTGTTAACTGATTTTACATAGATATTTACATGTTTCAATGGTCCAAAGATTGTGTTTGACTTTGACATGATGGCTTTAACAGGTGTATTCATTTTGTAATATTAGAAAGTGTAACAAAATTTAATAAAGCCTAAAAATTGAGCTACACTAATAGTCTAGTTAGCAAATAATAGCCACAAGAATTTAAATTGAATGACAAACATCATTTGTATAAATTCCAGAACAGAGACGGAGATATGACGGTATTATTGGCTTCAATAATCAGGTTCTTGGAATTTAGTCTCTCGTGAATGATCTTAGATGGTATATATGTATGTGTGTGTGTGTTTATGGCCAGTTCGGCAATTGATTCAAAATGTTAAAGAAATAATCAGAGTTTGGTGATGCTACCAAAGAAGAGAGACAGGAACTCTTTCTTTCTTTGTGAAACCAAGTTCACGTTGTCTCTACATTGTAGCGATATCGGAGAGAAAAACATTTCTAGTTTTCTTGTGTTTTATTTCCCAAACTGTGAGGTGCTCTATCTCTATCTCTGAGTTTTCTGTACCTTTGCAAAATATGAGTTACAACAATCCGTTGTATGCTTTACTATATTGTTTGGAAAGGCTGTTCGCTTGGAATTGTATGTTTTCTGCTGCAGGTGGGGCATTCATTTGTGTTTTCTGTTTTTGTTCTTCATCCACATTCTGGATTTTGTGTCATTACATTTTGTTATTTTAAAAGAGGCCACTGTACCATTTTGATTTATTTAATGGAACATGTAAGGGATGATATAAACTTTGATTGTAACAAATAGTTATGTAACTGAACACAGTAACTTTATAATGCTGAAACTATATTATGTTCTGGACTTTCTGAAGTACTCAGTATTGCTGAGTACTCAGTATTGCTGATCTGGCTCAAGTCTTTTGCCTACATATTTTCTCATGTATCCTTTAATGTTGCTCTATGTCTGGGTGAACGTACTGTTGGTGTTTTATTTTGAAAATGCATAGTGAACATCCTGTCTTGCGCCTACAAGTTTTGAGGGGCAGGAAACGCCCGCCAATTGTGCTAAACCCAGAGGGCGTGATTGACAGTCACGTTGTCTAATCAGAGCGCAGCTCTTTAGGTTCTGCCCAATAAGGGCACAGCTACTATGTCTGTCGCTCCCTGGACTATCGCTGGCTGTACGACGGAGACGTAGGTTTAGTTATTTTGCTTACATCAAAATCAAACATTAATCTTTTGATAATTAATCAAACAAAGTGTAACGTAGTTGTTTGAAGGCCTTAATGTTAAAGTAGGCGGTGTTTACTCGGACTGAACAAATTCGTTTCCTTCCACAGGCTGTGAGTCATTGTCCACCGCCCCTCGGTATCTTTTCCTGTGGTTTGCAAGTACAGAAAACAACATTTAAACAAGGTGATTTGTGTCGTTTATATTGATACAGCGGCGTGTGTGGCAAAATGAAAGGGGGTGTAAGTGTGTAGGTGAGCAAACAAGACAGTTGATGTGAGTAATAGTTCATTCATTTTCTTGGTTGACCATAATGCTAAAACTAAGTTGTTTTTTTAGTGTTAATTTCTCGTGCCCGTGGTGCGTTCAAATGTACAATTTATTCATATACATTACCGTGAATGCATCAACGTTGCAAATTATAATCATTATCAGTCTTCTATGTCCTTTTTGTCAATTCGTAGGATTTTTATTTATACTTGGCTAAAGTTAGCATTTATCCTGTGCCCAATAACAAGTTGGGGCTTTTTCTCTAATATTGTACAAAGTTTTACAATATTTTGAAACGCTATTGTCCTCTAGCTTATTATTATAACTTCTATATTTTGTCAGTCCTATTCTTTTCATTGATACTCACACAGTTTTAATTGCTTGGTGCACAACAGACACTGAAATATGATTCACCAGCAACTCGAGATATATTTATATTTTACTTTATATTTATATATATTTATGACTTTATTGCATTTCATGGATTTACCAGAGAGGTCTCTGCATGTTTAATCCAAATTTATAGTACAGTTAAACAGTGTACTGTATTACCTCATTGAATTTAAGAATATAACAACAAATTTCAGATTCATTCTATTCGATTGTATGTTTTGTTGGTGAATGTCATTATGTTGAGTTGTGGTTAATATTGCCTGAAAGCGAAACACTTGACTGTTAAGAATCCTGTGGGTCTTTGTGGAACTACCTGTTCTTTTGCCTGTGTTTATCGTGTTATTTGACTTTGTGTGAATCCCTCCACCCTGAGGCTGCTCAGTACTTCTTTTGTTAATGTGCATCATCTTTATTGCTCTTGTCGATTAATGTATGTTGATGCGAATTGTTGCCACTCTCTGCGAAGTTTGAAAGTCACTGAAGGGATGTATCTGGTTTCACTTGAGCTCTTAGATGATGAAATACCATTTCTGCAGAAAGAGTGGGTGTTTGTCTGCACTCTGTGGTGTCCCTTACACACTTCCTTTTGTGGTGAACTGAACATTTAATGTAATCTTGTACTAATGATAGAAAGTTTTAATGAAAATACCTGCACTAAAGATTTACTGCAGGCTTCATAATTGTGCAAAAATACAGTTTAAGGTACATTCGCTGCATGTTTTCTAAATAAGTGATTTTACTGAATCCTGACTGGAACTTTTATCTTTGTCCTCCTCAGATGGCTGACTGTGTGTCAAAGGTGGAGCTGAGTGTATCCTGCTCTAACTTGCTGGATAAAGATGTTGGGTCCAAGTCTGATCCTCTGTGTGTTCTTCTGCAAAAGACGGCAGGAGACAGCTGGACTGAGGTGACCTGGCAACCATGAAAGAAAAGACATCCTGTGTATACACATAAACATAGGCTTTAGGTTTTCTATTTTTTAAACTAAGTTTGAATTGTTTTTCGCTTTCAGTTGGGGAGAACTGAGAGGATAAAAAATTCCTCTGACCCCTCCTTCAGTCAGCGCCTTAAAGTGGATTATCATTTTGAGACTGTACAGGATCTGAAGCTGGGGCTCTACGACATTGACAACTCCAGCCCTGACCTCAAAGATGATGACTACCTGGGAGGAATTGAGATTACACTGGGGCAGGTGTGTTTGGTTTCTGTAGGAAGGGTTCTTCTGAAGGATAAATAATGATCTGTCTGTCTGTCTAATCTATCTATCTAAAAAGTATTCAGACTTTTGAGCATAGACGCTATGACATTTATTGTTCTTCATAAAGTACATGCTGCCATCTACTGGAAAAATACGGATGATAACTGTACTTGATTCATTCATTTTTAAGTGCTTTATTCTGCAGAAGGATTGAAGTGAAGTTGTTAATCTTTGTCTTTAGTAATCTTTATTTACACGGTGCAGTGCTTTATTTTTCAATATAGTTTTTTTTTGTCTGAAGACAATAGAATATCCTATGTGTTTCAGATTGTGTCCAGCAAAACTTTGAGCAGACCACTGCAGCTGAAGAAGGGCAAACCTGCAGGAAAAGGAACCATCACTGTATGTACATTTGTCTGTGTGTTTGTTTGTGTGAAATTTACTATGCAGCTGTTACTTGAGTGAGTGTCTTTAACCTGCCACTTGTGTTTCTGCAGGTCACGGCCGAGGAGATTAAAGACAACAGAGCCATTACTTTGGAGCTGGAGGCTAAGAACCTTGACAAGAAGGTAACTTTGCTCTTTATTCTATCAACGTTGTCCTGTGTTGCTGTGCTCATATATTTCATACAAGAAGTACATTGAACCAAGTACTAACACATTGACCCTTTATTATTGTTGCTACTAAACTAAGGAACAAGGCTTCCTTTAGGTTGCACTTGAAGTTTTTGAAATATACCCTCTGATCAGTATTTTCCATTACTCCCAGCGGAAACATGTTGCAACATGGTTTTAAATATGTTGCCAGTGCAAGTCAACCTTGATAGTGCGGTTTTGTGAAGACACAGCCTCAGTTATTTAAATAAGGATTACTTTGTTTGTGTCGTCACGTGAAATAACAAATGTTATTGTCTTCGTTGTTTTCAGGACACATTTGGAAAGTCTGATCCGTTCCTGGAGTTTTTCAAACAGGGAGATGATGGGAAGTGGCATCTGGTTCACAGAACAGAGGTATCAACAAAATACACCTTTGTTTTTATACTGACATTATTGAGTGAGTACTGTTATAGTGTAAGAACAGCTATGTAATCTGTTTTTGTATTCATGTTCTCTGTAAATGTTAATGTAAGTAATACAATGTAATAAAATAGAGAACATATCAAACAAACATGCTGTCATTTCAGTGTGTGGTTGACGATGAGTTTGTGTGATTGAAAAGTGTGTGTCTTTTTGTAGGTGGTGAAGAACAATCTGAACCCTTGCTGGAAGAAGTTCTCCGTTCCTCTGCAGACGTTCTGCTGCAGTGACCTGGAAAGACCGCTGAAGGTCAGCTTCTGTGAGAAACCTCTTCAAGATGACTGAACCACAACTCTGTAGTCAACTATTGTCACTAACAAATCTCCTTCACCTGTAGGTCGATTGCTCTGACTATGACAGTGATGGATCTCATGACTTGATTGGTTCCTTCACCACTAAAGTCTCTGAGCTGCAGAAGGCTACACATGGTTCCCCTGTGAGTTGGCTGACTATAACGTTCTCAACAGTCTCTCGGGCATCTGTTCAGACAACATTAAACACGATGTGCTGTCTGTGCAGGTGGCGTTTGATTGCATCCACCCCGAGAAACAGAAGAAAAAGAAGAGCTACAAGAACTCTGGAGTCGTTTCTGTGAAGAGCTGCAAGGTAAAGTTCAACATAGAACAGAAGGACAATATTAGTTTGGAAAGAAAAAAATAGGAGCTTCAGCTTTCCTCTTACCTGAGTATCTTACCCACATCCAGTTTATTTATTTTTAATTGTCAAAATGGCTGCTGTACATATTTCCTATTTTTATCTAAACTAGTCACAAGGAAAAAGATTTGAAAAATTAAAATGTCACCCAGTAATAATATTTTGACTCAAACCCACACAACTGTTCCATTATTTTAATGTATAAACATATGAGAGTCATTCACTGTGTCCTTGATGTGTGTGTTCCTGTAGCTGGCGACTGAGTACTCATTCCTGGACTATGTGATGGGCGGCTGCCAGATTAACTTCACTGTATGTCTGCGTCTCCTAACACACACAAGAACATTTCTAATCCCGCACATTCTTCACATCACTTTACATCACCCTTTCCTATTGCCGTAGGTGGGGATAGACTTCACAGGGTCCAACGGTGATCCTCGCTCCCCAAACTCTCTTCATTACATGAGTCCAGATGGGCTGAACCAGTATTTAAATGCTCTGTGGTCTGTGGGTCAGGTGGTCCAGGATTATGACACGTGAGTAAATACACTCAGACAGGAACTGAACAAAGACCTTTCACAACTAAATCATTCAATGTCAAGTACAAAACAAAAAAAGGTTGATTTGTCATATACCATCACAAATTTCTCAGAATTATAAATGTTGTAGCGTTGTTTTTTTTTTTTAATCAACTGATTGAATTCTTATTTCATGTTCATTTATGTTTGTGTTTTAGTGATAAACTTTTCCCAGCCTTTGGTTTTGGAGCCAAACTTCCTCCAGATTATCAGGTGAGTTCTCTCAAAGTCAGGACTGTGATTTCTTGTACTTGCTTTTCCTTTTTTCCTTTGGTTATATTTAAGTTATAAAAGCAAGTCTTGTAATTTTTGGATGTAGTTGAAAATTACATTAAATTATCAATTTCTTTGGAGTCATCCAAATGTAAAAACTATCAGTTAATCCATATACATTTTGTTTTTGTCTTGCAGGCTGCACACCATGAGTTTGCACTCAATTTCAAACCCACAAGTCCTTACTGCCAAGGTAAACATAACAGCAGTAGAAGTCAAACATTCTCATCTCCTCTGCGTTATTGTTAATCGTTCTGTTTGATAAATGAGAAAAGAATCCGGTGGTGAGTTTTGAACCGCAGTTAAAACCAAACTATTGTTTCCACTAATTTCCTCCTTGATCCAGGTATTGAGGGAATTGTTACAGCCTACAGGGGGGTCCTACCTCAGCTCAGACTGTCTGGACCCACTAACTTCTCCCCCATCATCAACCATGTTGCTTCCATTGCCACTGGTGCAGCACAGGCCAACAACGCCTCAGTGAGAAAAGCACAGAAGGTCAAGTTCAGGTCACGGCTGTCACTCATTGACTTACACGTGTATTTGTCTGTGTGCAGCAGTACATGGTCCTCCTCATCCTCACCGATGGCGAGATCACCGACTTTGACCAGACACGAGACGCCATCGTTCGTGCATCACGGCTACCGATGTCAATTATAATCGTGGGAGTCGGCCCGGCGGACTTCAAGGCCATGGAGCTCCTGGACGGAGACGATGGCATGCTGAAGTCAACGTTGGGGGAGCCGGTTGCCAGAGACATTGTCCAGTTTGTCCCGTACAGACACTTCAAAGATGTAAGGCTAAGAGTGTGTGACGTGTGTGGTGGATTAAAACAGATGTTGCTATTCATAAATGTTATTTTGGTCATTGTAAAAGTCCAGTGTCAAATGGTTGAGTCCTCCATTCACTGATTCAGTTTCAAGCAAAACCTAAAAAATATTTGTTTTGGAAATTAGATGTCAGGATTTTATGTACTCTTTATTAGGGATATATATATATATATATATATATATATATATATTTTAACTTTTTACATTAACTTTCTTATATGGTGTGTCTACAGTGCAGGCTCATTGTTGATAACAACAACGTCCAGATTCTCACCTCCCATCTGTCTCTGTCTCTCCAGGCTCCCAAGTCGTCTCTGGCCCAGTCCGTTCTCGCTGAGGTTCCCAAACAACTGGTGTCTTACTTTAAAATGAGAGGCTTTGAGCCACCCAAACCAAAAGAGGCCCCAAAATCCTAAACATTCCCCAAAACATGACCTCAACCTCGTCCATAGTTAACTTCACACACTCTTCATTAACCCAGACTACATTGTCATTCCAGGCTTAGACCTCCACAGGTCCACTCGCATATTTGACCACTCTTAAGGGATCAAACCTGAGTCAATCACAACGCACATTCAGCTGTCAGCCAATCAGAACACGGGGCCAATTATCTATAGATTTTTATATCAAGTCCAGTTTTCACTTTATATTCTTTTGGGATAATGGTAGTTAGGTGGCTTTTAATCAGCTTCTTTCTGCTGTTTCTTGCACGCTCTCTATGCAAATCATGTTTTTTTTACCAACGTGACTAGGCTGCAAACACTGACTTTAGGGTTAGCATTTTTGGATCAGTGCAGATCCAAGTCTAATGAAGCCACATGTGCCTCATATTGACTGTCTTTTATGCACTGTCTGCAGCTCAGATTAGCGCTTTACTCTTCAGGTAACAGTACTTTGCACTTTGCTTCCAAACTGAATGCTGGAAAAAATATATTCTGCTCTTTGCCTTAGCTTTAGCACCACTTAGCCTTACTATATAGCTTTACTAAAGACTCTGATGTCGTCACATTATTGTTCATCTGTTGTTGAAGCAAATTTTTACAGTATGTTTAAATGGTGTCCTTAATTAGAAATAGAAATAATAAGAACAACAATTATTATTCAAAAATATTTGGATAATTGGGATAAATAATTTTAAACAGTCTATTGCAAAATGTTACATCTAAAATTTGCTCCAAATTTTTATTTATTTTTTCAAAAAATGTTTGAATTTAAAAAATGGTCAGTAGAATAACTTACCAACAAAGAAAGTGAAATGATTGATATTAAGGGTTTAAAAAACGTTTTAGTTTATCCTGTCTATAAAATGTCTTATGGAATTTTCAGGTTGTATCATCAAATACAAAAATATATTAGATGGTTTTCTTTGTCTAGTTGCCACATTGACAATTATTTTTGTTTTTAGTGCCAAAATCTTGTTCTACATCAGTGTTACAGTTGATAGAAATTTGCCCCCACACTTCTTTGGAAGTAAGATGTTTAAATGTTATAAACTTAGCCAAATATTCCATGTGCCACAACTGGAGTAAAGAAGGATGATAAATAATCCAGATCACATTTAATTAACATGGTTAAACAATAACAATCCCAGCATCATGTTCTTTTCCAGTTAACGTGCCGGTATAAAATAGTTTATCATATAACAGTATAATCATTGATGGGTCATTGTAACCAGTACCATCACGTCTGTGTGACCACTGACTGTTGAAGTACAACAATAAAACAAAGCTGGAGACAATGTATTTGTAATTTGATTTTTTTTGACAAAATTCTTTTTTTATTTTTTGAAAGCGGACAATTACTGATTGAATGTGAAAAATATGTTTCTTTTGCACATGCTCATTTATGTATTAGTGTTCGGTTCCAGCCAGATTGTAGGCAGTGTTTGACATTTCCTTTACAGCCAAGGCCCCTTTGAGGCCCTAAGATTGATTTAAGATGGCCTTCAACTTTTTTAATGAAATAAAAACAGGTAAAACATTTTTTACATGTATCGGGATGGGGTGAAAGAAAATAGGGACACTAATAAATCGCGATATTTTATTTCACAATACCATATTTACCATAAATACCGTTACCGTAACTGAGAGCTACTACAAGGGCACTCAGTAATACAGAGAGCTACTTGTTTAATACAGACTTCCCGAACAATGTCATAATAATCAGTTCTGGGACATATAATGCTAGACACTCTTCTTACCATCGTCATTGCACCCATTTGAATATCATTACAGGTGGAACTGGTTCAAAAAGCACAGTAACAGTACAATTGTTGACCCTCTTGTTGACTAGTTTTATTTTAGAACATAGCCTGCGGACACCTTAGGTAGTCCATGGGAGCTGCCAGGTGACCCCTGGTTTAATAAGTCTTTCACTTGTTAGGAACGGGTGTTTGGTGAGAAGAGCCGTTTCCCCGCTCGAGCCCTCTGAGAAAGAACTCCGGTAAGCATGGTGGCTAGGTTTCACTGTTAGTTTGTCGCAGCCTATTGTGTAAAAAGTCCTTCACTGAAATATTTTTGCTTTAACCAGTCAGAAATTCGGAAATGTTTGATGTTTAAACCCACATTGGTGCTTTCTGTATCATTGTGAACTGTGTACGCTTGACTCGAAAAAGATTGATAATTAGCATGACATTAGCGTCAATCGTGAGCGGCGCTGCCGCTACTGTAGTTAAATTCGGGTTTTTTAAAAAACTCAATGTATCTCCTTGCCTATAGGGTCGCTGCATATGCGATGCTTTCAGACATTAAATAAAATTTTACTTTGCTTTCTATTCTGTATGTATTAGCTAACATTTATCTATTTTTG